CTGGCTTCTGCCTTCTGCCGTTTAGCAAAAGGAGTCAGAGTCGGAGTCGCAGTTGGTAACACCTTGGCCGGGGCCTGGCCTGCTCAAAAGTCAATCTTCCTCCAGCTGTAGCTACATTCATTGTCTTGAACTACGCCCCTTTGGTGTCTGGCCTGTCAATGCAGGAGGACTCCGGAGGCTGCCGGAGACAGGCGACGATGAACCCCACTGAGAACTGGGATGTCGATGCTGATGAGGTGGGAGGTGTTGCCCTGAGATTGAGGATATCCAACGTAGTTTGGCGTTCGATTCACCAGCTGCCGGATTTTGCAATTCAAATTTCGTGTTTTTGGGGGCGGGACCAGCTAGAGCAAATGTCAAAGGCAAAATACAAGTTCTATCACGGATCTCTGATTTCGAATCGAAATAGATACATCGAAAGATGAAAGTGGAACTGAATAAATTACTGATTTCGATAATAGCTTGTTACCTGACATTTCTCTGTACGTGAGTATTGAGTCGATCCCTTGCGCTTGTCCACTGCCAAAAGAATATTCAACGAGTATCTCTTAAGCTAAACTGAACGTTTTGCATCTCTTGGTATCGAAAGCTTGGGGCTTGAGTATTTTCCACAAACATATATGTATGTACTTTCCAATTACAGTACCATATGGCTTGGGTAGAGTGAGAGAATTTTTCTCATTAGACATCCGATGACCGTTCGAGAGAGCCGACACGCCTTAGTGCCACTTTCCGGCCTATTAGAAACTCATTAGTCGCCCGATTGGGGCAAGTTTGAACTCATAATGTGGTGGCAGAGTCTGTTGGCTGCTGGCAGCTCAATTGAAAGAAATTTTCAATTTAATGCCAGAGTGTGGCCTCCAAAGAATTGTTTCTCTGAGAGGGACAGTGGCAGTGGCAGTGGCAGTGGCAAGTGGATTCTGGTGCCTGGTGCCTGATGGCAGCTATGTGGCTGCCCAGGCCGGTATTCAAGTGGCCAATTATAGACCGGGCACAAGGCAAAAGCACAAAAGGCACAGAACCAATCTCAATCTGTGGCATCGAGTAGACAAATATGGACTATTGTATGCCTATGCACGTAGTGCATTCCCATCCTGTCTCCATTTGGTATTCAAAAACTGTGCGTCTGTGCGATTTTGACGCATATTTGCCAAGCACACAGCCGTATGACCATCTATACTCGAATCCCCATACGCATCCCATCGACACTCGCATTCACAGAGCAACAAATGTATCTGTGAGTATCAGAAGCAGCAGCAGCAGTAGCAGCAGGCTGAAATGCACAATTGCTTCATTTTGCAGAAGGATTTTATTAAACCCGAACCAGTAAAGTCGCAACAGAAGCAGAGTGTTCGTCGATAAAGGCAAGTGGTTGAAGCTCCGGAGTGGGAGTCCTGACAGCCGCTTCACTCCACTCCACTCCACTCCGCCTTTAGCTCCATCTCTTTTCATCTCTAGCTCCTAGGCAATCGAAGTCGATTTGCGTGTGCGTCTGTTGGCGTAGTTATGGTAAATATTCATATTTGTAGCGTGTGCGCAATGTGTTGAAATTAGCATTTATGAATTTTGTTCCAAATGTCGGGCTCGAACATAAGTTGAGCGACCGTACAGCGTACGCATGGCACGTACGGCCATGCACAACAGCTTCAACTACTCTGAATGACTTGGCCCGCTCATTTACCGCCGTTCTCCCCTCGGCTTTCTGGCTATCTGGCTTTCTGGCTTTCAGGCTTTCAGGCTTCTTCGGCTGTATTATGCGAGAGATTCCTGGTTATGGCTTTGTGGTTTTCTGGGCCAGCGGCTCACATTTAGTCATTGGCCGTCCATTTGCATTTAGATTGCGGCCCCTCCCACCCAGCCACCCAGCCACCCAGACTTATTTGAACTACTTGGTCAGGGCCAGGCCAATGAGTGACATCTGTGCAAGATGGTCCCCCTGCTGGCCGACAACTTGTGTGGCTCTTTGCGGTGACCTGCTCATGTTCGAGGGCTCTGATTTACATAATTATAAGTGAAAACTTTTGCTTCCAGTTTGCTTGCGCAGATCTGAGTTCAGTCTTAAGCAAATATATACAGATGTATGTACATACATACATTAAAAGACTAAAACAAACAACTAAAATCCTATATATATGTATGTATATTTATATATTTCATACTAGCTGACCCGGCCAACCATTTGCTGCAGTATTATTAACTATTTCTGTTGGTCCGAACGAAGTCATTTGGAAGCATCAACTGAATGCTTCCATTCAATGCGAATGGACTTCAGGAACAGGACTTTGTCGCTATGAGTCACACATACCATCTGATTCATGTTTTTCCATAGCACCAATCAGCACTTTCGAATGAGCGAGTCGAAGAAACGAAGCGGATGTAAATGCTCGATATACTTGTTGACATTTTCTCAGCACAGTTCCAAACAGAACAAAAATTCATGTTCGGTAACCTACTTGGTAGCAGAAAACCCTATCGTATTTGGTTTTGGTGTAACACCAAAAGCATTTGCCATATTTCACACAGAATTGATCTTTAAAGTACTTCTCCATTCTCTGTTTATATGGCTCAACAACAACTGCATACATGATATACTTCGTTCACACGAGTCCAATTCCCACAGGATCTGGGCATTGTTTTTGGCATTTTCCACCCAAAAATGATTTCACTTTGATGGCAATTGCTCAAACACTTTTGCCTTTCTGGTCTTTTGTCAACACACACGCCCTAAGTAAATAAAAATAATGGCACATTTATTTTCCCGATTTATATTGCACATTTGCTCAGTGCGGTTTTTCTCCTCATTGTGGGTGTCCTTTATGGGAAAACAAAATTGCCATTTGATTTTATTGTTTACATAAAGTGATGGCGAATTGTATTACCAGCTGGAAATATCGCATAAAAATGCAACTTTTGTCAACGATTTGTTAAACTGATTCGATTTTAAAGGCCTTTCCTCGGCTGCCTCTGCCATAATAATCATTCTTCGTTTTGGAGCATATTTTGGGGCGCCTCAAATTGGTATTGTATTTGCACATAATGCTGGACTAATAATTTTACAATCAGTGGAGTATAATGTTAATTTTGAGGAGTAAGTATTTTGTATTCTATGAAAACTTGAAAATTACAGTATAGATAGAGCCCAATCCTCGTATTTGATATTCCGAACTTAAAACCACTTTATAAGATGGGAATCCTTCAGCTGTAACGGAATCGTATGGAACATCCACATATGTATGCTTATGCAGACACGGAATACTTCCGGAGTGGAATTTCCACATGTTTTTTTGCCAGTGAGCATTTGAATACAGCCACCGCCCACCGCCCACTGCCCACTGCCGTAACGGTAATTAATTACGTAATTTACACATTTACGAGCGGAAAAAGATCATTGAACACAAACGACGCGTCGTTACCACGTGCTCGGTGGCGTCGCTCGAATGTGGCGCCAAGAGCTGCTCTCAAGTGCGGAAGGACATTGGGCAAACAAGGACTCGCGACGCTTTTTCTCGCATTCGCCGTGCTGTTTTTTGTTTTTTCTTTTTTTTTGCAGAGCCGCTCCGTGCACTTGTTTGGCCTTGTCCGCGTTTGATTAATGATGCGGACTCGGATCTCTTTTTTACGTGCCCTGTTAATGCGTGTATCGAAAACGACTTACATGCTCTATCATGCTCATATCATCGGGCAGAGAGGGTGGACGACTACTCGTCTGCAGATTCCTCGAGGGCTGCACTCGGTGGTGGTTCGTTCTACTTTTATGGTGGTGAGGCCAGGCCGGGACGGGCCGGGCCGGGCCCTTTGTTTGACTATTTTTACTTCTACCCCCATCCCCTCCTAGAATCATCGGCACGGCCAGACACGGAGCCGTATCGGTGTCGCGATTGGGGTATAATCTGGTTAGCGGCGCTGATGAGGACAACAGCCGTAGTCCGGAGACGGTGACGGTGACGTTTAAGCACAATTGCTGTGGCTAATGTGACACATATTGTGACAAATTGCATAAAGTTGCGCTGGGTGGAAGTCTGTGGGTGGGGGCGGAGATGTGGCTGGGGCTGGGGCTGGGACTGGGGCACTTTGGAGGGGTTGGAACATGGACGGGCTGTGTAAACACGTGTTGCAGTTCCCCGAAAATCAATTCGAGGACTAATTGTTTGATGGTTTCCGATTTAAGTTCTTACGTTTATGCTTGCTGTGAACAATCTTAAAGGATCACCAATCAGGGATATCGCAGAGATACCATAGCTGGGAATCAGAACCAAAAAAGAGAGAGAAATGATTAGCCCAGCTTAGGTGCTACTTATAAGAATCGTATGGAAGCTCGGCAGTGATTGGCAATGCAAAGATTTTGTATCTCCGGTGCCTCTGAGAGTCAGAGATAGATCGGTTCGGTTCGGTGCATTGGTGCTCATCCCTCAGCCTCCGTGCTAGTGTCTCAGTGCCTGGGATTTACTGAAACTTAACATAGACCCTACCGTTTTACTCCGCCAAACATTCGAAAATGCCATTTTAAAAGCCAAATCGGATACCAAGGCTATCTGGGAGCTTTGGCTGCCGCTTTCCCCACCACGGAAACGAATGACAAAGAGTGTCACACAAAGGACGATTGCGACACTGTCATGTCGATGTTGTCAACAGGGCCGTCAGCAAGAGGGCCGGGCAGGGGCTGGCCAGGAGCAGGAGCAAGGCCCTCTGAACTATGCATGACGAATCGGCATTTTACGCCCGTACAGCCGATTGCACCCCGCTTCGGGGTGACTGTGACTGCTGTGTCAAATGCTTTGTTCCTCCTGTCAACCGAGCGGAACTAATTTCCGGGCTGCACCTGCAGGACCACCGAACGGTCCGCAACCTTGCGCCGGGTGGCTGCGTGGCTCCGTGGCTCCGTGGGGTGGTTGCGCAAGTGCTGCAAGTGGCATCGTTGGCGGTGGCCATCGTTGGGGTGCTGTGCTGCGTAAGAGGCTGCGCTGTGTGGGTTCAATTGCTAGCACATTAACATTCGTTTATTTTACAAGGTCTAATTTTGATTTGGGCTTAAAATTGGGGGGCCTTAGGGATGGACTAGTGCTCGAGGGCCTCCTTGACACCGCACTCGCCGTAGGCACCCAACTCCTCGGGCCGGAAGTAGGAGCTCTGCATGCTGTAGAGTCGGTCGATCGGGTTGATCATGGGCGTCTGCGTGAAGGGCCCCATCAGCTGCTGGAAAGTGGCGTAGCTCAGACCCAGAATGGTGTTCAGGATGGGCTCGTTGTTCTTGTTACAGTTTTCTGTGGATAGGCCATCCGGGAAGGGGTTATCTTCAGGCAGTTCGGGGACGGCGGTGCTATCTGTGGTACTTACCCTTGTTGGTTTCCATGCAGTTGAAGGGCACTTGCTCCTGCTCCTCCTTGATGCAGCGCATCCTGGATAATCCCTCGGAGGCATTTGAATACGGCGACTCCATCTGCGACTCGCTGTCGCTGTGCGCCTCGTCCTTGATTTTGGTAGCCAGACTGCTGTCGTGGGACTCTTGTGAGTCCTGGGAGTCGCTGGCTCCTTTGCTGGGCGGCTCCTGCTTGGCTTTCTTCTGTATCTTCTTGACCTTGGCCCGTTGGTTCTGAAACCACACCTAATCAAGGGAAAAGTATGCAGTTTTCAAGAATAACAAGTTCTGATGTTTGTTACCTGCACAATCCTTAGGCTTAAACCAGTCTCCTTGGCCAGATTCTCTCTCACTTTGCGACAGGGCTTGGGCGACACCTCGAAAGAGGCCTTGAATGAGCGTCTCTGCTGGGTGTTGAGGATCGTCCGTGGTCGCTTGGGGCCGCGCCGTCCATCCAATTTGGGCGGAAAGAGGTCGTCGCCATAGTAATCTGAACACAGAATGGGCCAGGTCAGCGATTTGAATGCCGTCGAAGACGTCGTGGACTTACCATAGCCCTGCAGCATCTCCACCTCCTTCTCATAGTCGAAGCGGCAGAAGAGTTGTCCCTGCTTCACCACATACTGCTCGCCTTTCTTCAGCAGGGCCCCGCACACCACACAGGCAAAGCACTTCAGATGGAAGACGTTCTCGTGGCACCGCATCACCAGCTCATCGGCGGCGACCTTATGGCCACAGCCCAGGCAACGATTGCGGATGTAGAGTCTGCGTGGAATGGAAACATTGCAGGGGTCAAATGGTTCTCCGGCACCTGGCATACCCACTCACCTCTCGTAGTCGATGCGGCAGTAGAGCTTGCCCTCCCGAGCGTAGCACGAGTGCACCAGGTGGAGGGAGCAGGCGGTGCACTTGAGGCAGCCCTCATGGAAGGAGTTATCCACCACGCGCATGATGTAGCGATCAGAAATTGGCCGGCAGCAGTGGGCACAGTTGTTCATCGGGGGTCCAATGCAACCTCCGGCCCCCATGTCCCCTCCTATACCCGTGTGCTGTTGCAGCAGTTGAGGCGCTTGCGGTGTGTTTGATGCAGATGGAGGTGCGGGTGCCGTGAAGCCGTCCATCCCATTTAGACTGCACTCCCCCAAGGTAATGCGGTTACAGAGTTGGGGCGGACCCGGACCCGGGCCCGGACCAGGACCGGGACCCGGACCCATGCCCATGCCCATGTCCAGGCCCATCGTTTGTGGATGCTGTGCGTGGCCATTGTTTATGGCGCTGTTGCTGTTGTGGTTGTTGCAACTTCCGTTGACATTTCTGCTGACTGACGCCATTTTGTCATTGTGGGCTGCTGCTCCGGCTTTGCCACTTGTAGTGGCTGTTGCTGCTGTCATACCTCTTCCTGTTGCCGTTGCCGTTGCCACTGCCGCCGCTCCCGCTCCCGCTCCCGCCGCTGCTGCTGGTGTTGTTAACATGCGTTCATTTCCGTTCAACAGCAGTTGATTGAGCCCCCCAGCCTGTGGCTGCCCCGCTCCTGAACAGGGTCCGGATCCTGCTCCCGCTCCTGCCCCAGCTCCTGTTCCTGGTCCTAGTAGATGTTGCTGTTGACATTTTATGTCCATTGGAACTATTTTGGTTTTGTGGTCGTGTCGTGGGGCAGCCCCCAACATGCAAATGAGAAACATTTCAGATATTTTTTTTATTTTCCCTTTGGCATGCACATTGCGGCTGCGAGAGGAGTGTCCGAGTAAGAGTACGAGTACGAGTACGAGTAGGAGTGAGTGTTTGTGTATGAGTGCGTACTTATACATGGGTTGGTGTGTGCAGCTTTTTGCGCCTGTGTGGGCCTCAAATTTACAACTGCGGTCGGTTGGCCGTGGCAAAAACTATGCCCCAAACAACAGGATTTGTATTTGCGGTTCGACTCGACTCGCTTCGCTCCGATCCATCCAGTGTCCATCTGCCGTCCAGAACGTAGCCACCGCCTCCCACTGCGATAGCCCACTACGAGTGCCACTGTTCATCGGAGTTGTGTGACCATTTGCCAACCATTTCGAGTTGTAGTAAATTTGTGGTTTTGCAATTATTGAAATGACTTTTCCAGCAGCGAATGTGTGGCCCCTCCCCCCCCCATGTCCCCCCGTCTGGTTGCACTCGAAATACTTCCCATCCGCCAGCTATGGCTTTTATGCAAAACGAAAAAAGGAAAAGCCCGCGTAGCCTCTGCGTATACGTAATGGATTTGTGTGTGTGCGTGTGTGTGCGCGCGATTGTTCGGAATGGCGGCAAAAAATTACTGTACATTTGCGGTGCTCGTTGTGCTCGGCCTTTTGTTCCGTGTTGTCTCAATTTATGGCAAATTGCTGAAATTTCACCGTAATTTGTTTCCCAGCATTTACGTGTGTGTGTGTGTGTGTCGCCTTTTTTCAGTGTTATTGTTGCATGCCCCCTTACGCGTGGCCCCCTCCCGTCAATGTGGGTTTGTCATTCCGCATTTTGAATGAATGATTTAAATGTGTGCATAATTTCATTAAATTTTTGAAACATTATGTTTATCTGGTATGCAAATTTATGCCACGAATATGCAGAGAATTTTAAAGTTATTCTGCCGCCATTTACATGCATTTTTTGATACGACTGAAACACGCCTCTACTGTTAGCTCACGGGCAAGTCCACTGAGTTATTTCCGGGATGGGTATTACATAAGCAAAATATCAGAACTCCTCTAGTACTATATTCCCTGGAACTTATCTGAATCGTCGCTGCCTTAATTAGATGTTACTTCATTCAAGTTAAGTTTTATTCTGTTTGGAATTTGGTGACAACATTCAAAAGACAAGCCATAAACGATTATGCCATTAGGCTGTTGGTGGTTAAAAAATGATTAATATTAATATTAATTACACTCTCCGACAATCATTTTGTACTTAGCGCGAGACAAAAGTTAGGCTGTAGACCTGGATGGGTAGATCATTTCCCTTATTTCTTAGTGTATTATAAAATTTAGTAAATAATTTCTACCTCTGACATTCTTTGGACAATTTTGATTTTGAGTAACTAAATTTTCTTTAAAATTAATGCGACTAAAGAGCTAAAGTCTAAAAATAGGACCATAAAAACAAAATTCTTTCTAAATCCAAAAGTTGATGAAACAAAATGGTAGAAAAGGTTAAATTTGGGTGGCTATATCTTCAGGTATTTCCGCTCTATCGACACGAATCAAAAATCTTGTGATAGTTATCTTTTAAATGTATTTATTTTTGTGGATATTTGGCCAGCAGATGCCGAATAAATATAATAGAAATGCTCAATAACAACAAACCGCTGTTTTGGAATTTTTCAAAAAGATTTTGGGGGTATATTGGGAAGTCCAACTATGAGAGACTGATCCACCCATCGAGGCCTACAACTTAGTTTTTGTCTCGTGGAAAGTACAAAATCAAAATCTTTCATTTGGTCGCACAGCGATATTAATTTCCTTAAATATACCTACCTATAATCAGGGCAGTGCATTGAAAAAAAAGTATTTTAGTGGAGTATTTTAATACCGATTTTCTAAATGTAAAATTGATGTATGTATAGTTCCAACACTTAGTGGTTTTATAAGAATACAAATTAAGAGATCTTTGATTGGATCATATTATTCTTCTTTATAAATAAGGACATAGAACAAGAGTAAATGAGTCGGGAACACTCTAACAGATTAAATGAATACATTTTGAGTGCAGTCAGTGATTTCCTCTGTCCTTCCATCAAGTAGTTGATTTTGGAAAATATCGGATGATCAGATCAAAGTCGATTTCTGTCACTCTCCAGAGGAGTTACTTCAAAGAATAGAGGACTGCCCATTCAACTGTCAATGGCAACAGCCACCTCCTGCAGTCTGTCACCCGTTTCCCTTGCTTTGATTAACTTTAGACACTTTGTAGAATGGGTGCTCCAAAGGACTGCAGCGGACTAAGCCGCTCAGCGGCCACACCTGTTACACTTTTGTCCGCTCTGTGATGCCGATGCCCTTTGACGGATCAAAATATATTCCGACATGTTTGCCGGACATGGCTGTGCATGGCCTCCGCGGATTGGGATTTGGGACGACAAGTGCAAATCCGACATTGATAGGTCTACCCCCCGCTCTAATTAGATTCTAATGTGCACTGAGAACTAAGGGGCGGACAGGGGAACGGCGAGCAGCCACCCCGCGATGCTTATAACTAAATTATAAATGAATTTCATTGAATCGGGGAGTAGTGTGCGGGGCTAACCGGGGCATTTAAATGAATCAACAACAGGGCTACGCTACCCACCCTTAGGAGGCATCATACAGAAAATATGCTTTGGCTTAGCCCGAAACGGAGCCCGAGTTCCGGGTGCGGAACGGGGACGGGGACTTGCGATGTCGGTTAAGGCGGCTGGCGGCTGGCGGCTGGCGGCATATGTTGGCAGTCGACAGACAGCAGCCCGCGAGCGGAAACCCTTGCCAGGAAGCTGTGTGTCGCCGCTGCCGCTGCTACAGCCCCAGCCTTGCCACAGCCTCTGCCACAGCCTCTGCTTCAGCCTCAGCCTCAGCCTCAGCCGTTTGTCAGTCGCTGCCTCGCATTGCCGGGGACTGACAGCGTTTTATTTAATCGGATTTGGGCACACAATGAAATTACGGATCCGTTTTGTTGTGCCAGCAATCGCAGCGTAAATGCTTTGTTTTGGCCTAATCTCTGACAGAAGTCAAATTTGCTTTGCACTGGAAAATATGTTGAAATTTTCTCTGGCTTTTCGCCAGTTGGATTTGAGCACTTGATGTTCAACTTGTGGGTGTCACTGCGAATGGGAGGCTCAGTGTATAGGGATGTTTGTCGGCATGTGTGATATTTTAGTGTCGGATAAGGAGTCGACAATTCCTGTGCTCCTAAGGTTTAAGGCCAATGTCTATGCTAAAACTACTAGAAACTTTCGTTGGTTCAAAGTTTAAGCTCGAATATACTTTAAACAAAAGAAGGGATTACTTTTTGCAATAGATTCGTAATGGATTTCTTACTCGGAGATTGTGTTTAAGTGGTTTGTTTTGAATACTGAACATGAATAGGAATGCGTCTGATGTACTCAAATAAATCTTATGGAAGAATAAATATTCTTTGTCCTTGTGAATTCGGGATTCAGTATAACTGAAGACTGCAATTTTGAAGGGACGTTTCACGTATTAGATATGTGGGTGCTCTTGTTTTCCTCGATGATGTTCGCTGAGAGGTAAAAATGCCGTCGGAAAATACAAGTCTTGGAAAGCCGTCGGCTTTTGGGCTTCGGTCAGGAATCACTTCTTCGAGTCGAGTCGAGTCGATTGATACTTACACATGCCAATCTGCATTGGGTGCTGCTCATCGATCATTGTGTTTTCGTTTAGTTTGGAAAATTCAAAGTCACAATTACTGGCAGTTACATAATTTTCGCAAAGTTCTCGGATGGGCATGGGATGATTTTGGCAGCAGGAACTTCCTTTGTTTACTGGCACATTTTGCGAAGTTTTAGTGTTTGGAAAAAAAAATTAGATTGTCGCTAATAATTCGATTGGGAACTTTGTAGCGGCTTGCGTCGAGGTTCTCTGACCTGGCCCTGTTACGAAACGCGATGCTTGAATGATTACGGACCTCTGATGTTAATGAAATTTGTTAAAAATCATCTGCTCTTCTTGGCAGATGCACGGGCCGATGCTGCCGATGCCACTGCCGATGCCAGTGCCGCTGTCGAGGTAGGAAATTCTCTCCAAGCTGGAGGAGAAATGGCCACTGGGTACGCCATTTTAGATGGTATGACTATGGGGGTGTATCTATGTGAATGGGAAAGCATTTCCTGAGCTCCAACCCCTGCAGGTTGAGAGCGAGAGAGACGCTGCCATTCGCCTTCCCCAGCTTCGGGGGCGCATGCGTTGACCTTGCCTCAGTCTCCGCCGCAGATTTGGGGCGCTTCTGACTTGTTTTGCCTTTGTTTTTTGCACTTTTGACTTTTGTCTCTGTTGTTGGCGGGGCAGCTTTTATTTGTTTTGTTGCACGTAGTTTGTATTGACAAAAGGATGTTTGGCTCGGCGATTTCTTGCTTGCTTTGTCGCCTCGGCCTCGTCCTCGGCCTCGGTCTCTGTCTCTGGCTCTCTCTCCGCCACGGCAACAGCATCCCCAAAGACTTTCCTCGAGCACTGGAAATCTATGGCCGGAATGTTGTTTTTTCGTGTGCAGGCCACGATTTTGTTCTCTTTTTTTTTCCGCACTGGCTTGTACATTTTAAATTTATTGATTTTCGATGCCTTACGGTCGGAATCAAATTAAAGTTATCTCCCCAATGTCGCAGCTTTAATTGGCGTCTCGGACCTCGTGTCCTGTGTCCTGTGTCCCGTGTCCTGTGTCCTGTGTCCGTGCCTGCCCCTCCCAGTGGGTCGTGTTAATGACAGATACTCGCACTCGGCACACACCGGCGGCTCTTTAAACTTTTGGCCAAATGAATTTCGGTCTATTAAACGAGCGCGCCAAACTTTAATGTCTAAGCACTTGCCGGCTGACTGCATGTCTAGCTGCGAGATGAGGACCTGTCTGGTCGGGGCGTTTGGGCGCTTGGGCGCTTGGGCTGTCGGCTGGTTCCTTGGTTGGCTTCTGAACTGGCTTCTGGGTTGGCTGCGTTGGTGTTTTCCGGAGAAAATTCCCCAGAAAGTTTCGTAAGCGCGAACGTGTTACTCACAATTAGCGCGGGAGGACCATTTAGCTGCCAGCTCCTGTTTCCTCGTTTTCTCTCCGCCCTGGTGTTGCGTGTTGCCTGGTTCCTGATAATGATAATGATAATAATTATGTGCGGCTATCATTGTAATTCATAATCGATGCACGAAGCACGAGTACAGGGTGTTGAAGGAGTTCGTAGGGAGCTTAAGAGAACTATAAGTATTTGTAGACGGATCTCTCAATGGTTTAGGCGTTCACAATTCTTCGAGCTTGGAGTCCTATCTTTTAAGATAAAGGTTCGACAAAACATTGATCTTTGTTAACCTTCATTTGTAGTTGAATATTTAGAAGCTGCCTGGCCTTGGTTCTAGGGCACAGCGGGCTATTCTAGAACACTAGACATTTCTCTTGTGCCTTAAGTAATAGGATTAAGGACCATGCATGGATGTTTGATGTTTCTCGGGCCATTGTAACTCAATCTATTTAAAGGTTGTTGATTGTTGGACAGTCTTTTGTTGGCACACTTTCATTTACCCCGTCATAGATATCGTGAATTCCCAAATGGAGCCCCAGTCGACATGGCAACACCATCGCCCCCGTTCCGCTCGCCTCATCTGACAACCCGCAGGCGTCCCGAAACTTTTGCCACTTTGTCTACGCGGAGCCTAGACATGCCACTCGGCGAGTCCTCTCGAGTGGTGCCGGGCGGGGACTTAGAGGGAGGGAGCTCCCTGCTGCCACTTACTGATGTCATCGTCGCGTCTGTCAGGCTTGACTTCTACTTGGATGCCGCTGTACACTTGCACTTGCACTTGCCCCATGTTGCTGCCACTGTGCTGCCAGCGCTCGCGCTAATGACTAAGATTAATTTGGGTCAGTGTGCTGCCCCCCAACACGTGGAGAGAAGGGATTGGTCGTGGCACGTCGTGGGGCACAGAGCACAGAGGTCCACAAACTACATCCACATATAGGAATTATGCGCGTGCCTCTCGTATGAATGAATGCAGATGCAGCCTCCCAACGGGCGCGTCTGTGTGGGAGTGTGAATGAATGAATGAATGGCAGCGCATTGGGGTGGGACGGGCCAGGGCGGGCAGTGCGGCAGGCTGCGGGGCAGGCAGGGGAATTTGAAATTGTTGGGGGTTAATTAAACACGACATGTGTGGCATTGCATGCATTTGTGCAGCGACAGAGCCACTGCGACCCGCCGAGTGCCGCACGCGCCTCCCGCAAGTGTGAATAGGGGGCCGAGGCGCTAATCAATGCGCCATAATAGACAAATATACCCTTGCCTCCACGACGAGTTCATTATGTATGAAACGGCCGAGTGTCGATGCGTTTATGGAGTTCCATTCCACTGGCAGTGGCAGTGGCAGTTGTAGTTGTAGTTGCAGTTGCAGTTGCAAGTGCTTGGCCCCAGATAATGCCGATGGTGGGATTTTCGAGAACAAAACTCCTTATTATTTTGATTGGAGATATTTTCTATATATTGCAGCGTAAAATGTTATATGCAGGGTGACTCCTATACAAAATCCAATATTCTCAGACTTGCAGCCGCTCCGAATTCTATTGTGAAATGAATTCACATAGCTATCACTTCCACTTCCACTAATATTGAAAGCTTTTAAGCGGTGTAAACCAATATCGTTCTTTTTAGTTCACTAACAAATTTAGGAGCTAATCGTAGGATTCAGCAATGCACTGTAGCTCGGTTCAAGCCAACTGGAAGAGTTGAAATATCCTACAAAGGAGGGAAAATTCTGGGATGGTAAAGACGTCGCCGAGCGTAAGTAGAAAAGGTCCAGATATCCCCAATATAAGCCGTACGACCATTAAAAACGTAATTCAAAATCAGCTTTGGATCAATGACTGTAGGTTCCATTAAGGGTCAAAGAAGATATTTGACACTGAAGTTGTTCCTGCTGCGAAAATATCACGGATCAGAATATGATCAGAATCTCAAAAGATATATTCTTGGACGTTGACATGCAATGACTGCATCTTTCAAGAGGCGATGCAGTTACTGCACCGTCAAGTGGCCCGTGTGAAACCAGCAGAAGGCTGTTACGCGCGGATCCCAGGCAAAACGCAGCCCTCCTCCCGCCCAACCGACCGAGGGGCGCTGCCGCATGACGCACGGTGCGTAGCCGAACCGAACGCGAACATGCAAGAAAGATAGCTATTAGACTAACATTCGAGGAAAATTAGCACTAAACTTACTAAGAAACTAAGCATGCAATCAAAATAAAAATCCCACTACAATTACTAATTACTAGAAAGGTGTGTAAGGATTAGTAATTTAATAAGAGGAAGAGAATTAGTGGTGGATATAATATGGTAGAGGGAATTATAATCCGAGCATAAGACCCTAAACGGTTCATGCAAGGAATAATTCGATCTACAAAGTGGAAGGAACAACAGTATAAAATTTCTAGTCAGTCTAATAGGAATCGTGAAGTTTATGCGGCTCAACAGATCAGGGCTGTCTATGTCACCCCTGATCAAGTTGTGCATAAATATCACACCAAGCATTTTTCTACGGTTAACTAAGGATGGGAGGTTTACTAATAGTAGTCTACTAGAGTAATATGGGAGTCTTACACCCGCATCCCAGTTAAGGCCCCGCAGAGCAGAGAATCATGGTAAACATTCCAGCTAATCGGAAAGCGATTTAGTCATATCAAATAAATATCAAATATCTGTTATGGTTTTGGGAGCCATATCCGCAATTTGAATAATCTGAAAGATGGACTTCTTCTAAAAAACATACGTTGGAGCAATTTAATTGCCCAAATTCACGATAGGGCTAACCGGGAAAAATGAAAAATTAAAAATGGTTAACTGAAAAATATGTGTAATCTAAAAATAATAAATATTGGTAGCTAAATAAAAACCTTAATTACGTGGGATACAAGATTTGACCCCACATTTGTATGTTTCGTTCCAAACACGACAACATATGAGTGTTTTGTAGCCCATAAAAGTGTTTATTCAATCATTATTTAATAAATTCTATTATTAAATTTTAATTTAACTTTTAATGGGATCTTCTGGATGCCGGTGGGGTTTCAACAACCTAGAATTCATAATAATGTATTTTTAAGAAAAGACAACAGGAAACAGAGATTTTTTACGCCTATTTTATTCGTTATAATTTTGGATTACAGAAATACTATGAACTAAACCTTGACCTAAGGAAATTTAAAAAATCTCTCGTTGGATATGTACCTTCTCCAATGATCAACAGTTCCATTAATGGGAGAAACCTTTTGTAAAAAACATGGATGACATGAAAAAGAACAAATAGAGAGGGCTCTCGGACATACTGTTTTTCATTTATTAATACTCGTATGTGATACATTACTGGGCGTGCCGTATAATCCTATAATGACAGGGGAGGAGGGAGGAGGGCAGTGTCCTCCACTGTCTGCAACTGTGTGAAAGGGAAGCCGCCCCATGGACGGGGCCCCGGAACCCCTGCGGCTCCGACTTGTTGAGCCAATCGGGTGGACAGTGCTAAAAAAATAACTACACAAATATGTATTTATTTATGTGGCCCAAGGAGGCGGCCGGCAATCGCAGAATAAATAAAATATTTGGCATTACAAATTGTTGCGATTTCTGCTGCCCGCCGGCCCAAAGGGATGCCGATGCGGCTGCGGCCAGCTCTGGGCTCCGGACTGCCGGCTGCGGGCTGCGGGCTCTGTGGGTGGTGTTGCCCGGGGGCATGTGGCATGTGGCAGGGCGTCTGTGGAAACAAAGTAACGCAGAATTATGCGTTGACCGGGACGAAGGATCC